TAGACCAAACCCGAATATAAGAGAAACCCGGATATAAGAGACTTCTTCTCCGGTCCCGACAACTCTCTTATATCCGGGTTACACTGTAGTTGATCTTGTATACATGTACCCTTGGAAGCAAATCTTCTCTTCCTTTATTAATTGCTATAACTTCTATGATGGGGTTGTGATAGAGCCATTGATGACAACTGAACCAGGAGACAAATGGCGTCTGATTAGGGAGTTACTGGTTTGATATATATATATGTATGTATGTATGTATGTGTGTGTGTGTCTGAGTGAGAGAGAAAGAGTAAGAGAGAAATGCGCATGCGCACAAATACAAATAACGGTTAATCTCATGTATACACAATAACGAGGCACCAGAAGATATTTAATTTGTTATTGCCAATTCTAAGGCGTCTCCTTTAGGTGTTAAAATGGTTAAAAAGCTGAGTTCGCAGATAAATCGGTGTAAGTTCGATCTTCACTGTGTGCTCCATACTCTACAATAGCAATTTACTAAGCGTAGCTTAGATGTGGCACAAGGCCGCAAATATGGAGTACCTAATGAGGATCGAACTCACTACTCAACCGTGATTGATCTAACGAGACAAGCGTGCTAACCATTACACCACGTCAAAGTGACCCGATTTACTAAGCGTAGCTTAGATGTGGCACAAGGTTGAAAGTAAGGAGCACTCAGTGAGGATCGAACTCACTAAGTCAGTAGTAATTGTTCTAGAGAGAGACAAGCTTGTTAACCACTAAAACCCACGTTGAAGTGACCTCATACAATTCGTGTGTGCTCGCGTGTGTCATACTCTCTAAAACAGTAGGTAAAAAAATAGTTTGCTTTGCAAAATTTGAATTTATTTTTTGCATTTATTTGAATTTAGAAAATCATTTGTTACGAATATGAAGTTGATTTTCCTTGTAATGGTCTAAAAATGCCCAGTTGAAAAGATTCAGCCTTGTACCATATCCTTCTCCCGTGGGGGCATTCCCAACATTACTGTGCCCTCCTCCCGTTTTGGAACCATATAGCAAACGAGGATCGATCTCGCTACTCTAAGTAATTAGTTTAAAAGAGACAAGCTCGTTGAACCATGACTTTACACGGTCAGTGCTCAAATGCATCCCTAGATTTCAAATACATCGCACCTCTCCCCCACCCCCACACAAACCTGCACTGGAATTGAAAGTCAAGCACAAAAGAAAGAAAATTAGGTCTTCAGCACATGATACCAGATAACCCCGATGGTGTCAGATATTTTTAAGTCCTGGCTAAAGGCGAACGTCAACAAATTGATTTTCTTTTTTTGACAAAAAGACGTTTCTATTTTGGGTGAAAGCCTTCAAAATTATTTGGAGAAGTTTACGATTTGGGAATCGCTTGACGCATTTCACGCAAAGGACGAGAGAAATGTTTATAAACAGATTTCGACAGTTGAACCCCATAGCTTGTATTTTATTTTATCTCTACACCTGTCTCTTTGTGTCGCCGTGTGGGTCAGCTTGTCGCCTCTTTGATATGTGAATGACAAACGAATATAAATAATAATATGAAATAAACGATGCGATTTAAGCGCCTTCCTTGTAAGGAACGGATATCTATCTATCTATCTATCTATCTATCTATCTATCTATCTATCTATCTATCTCTTAATGTGTTCATTATCAGTTCATATAATTCTATTACTCTGTTCATATCTATCTATCTATCTATCTATCTATCTCTGTTCATATCAGTTCATATAATTCTTCATATCTATCTATCTATCTATCTATCTATCTATCTCTTTCTTAATGTGTTCATTATCAGTTTATATAATTCTATTACTCTGTTCATTCTATCTATCTATCTATCTATCTATCTATCTATCTATCTATCTCTTTCTTAATGTGTTCATTATCAGTTCATATAATTCTATTACTCTGTTCATATCTATCTATCTATCTATCTATCTATCTATCTATCTCTTAATGTGTTCATTATCAGTTCATATAATTCTATTACTCTGTTCATATCTATCTATCTATCTATCTATCTATCTATCTATCTATCTTGCTATATGTTCTCTCTTTAAGGTTTTCTTTTCTGTTAGTAGGTCGTTCTGATGCAGCATATATGCCTTTTCATCTTGATATCTGCTTTTTGAATAATTAACCATATGTGTGTGTGTGTACAATAAAAAAACTGCGAAAAGGGTAATTTTCTATTAAAAATATATTAATCAAAAATTTTGATTCAAAATGTTAATTTTGACGTTGTTTCATATTCAGAATCCATCCATCTGTCTATCAGTCTGTTCACACACGCACTCACATATAATGTGTTGTCTAAATTAACATTTTTGTAAAATTAAAAAAAAAACCCGAATGTTACGGTATTGAAAAAAAAGTAATCAATATAAATGTTGGATAAAGTCTGGGGTGGGGGTCGTAGCCGTGAAATATGTTTTGCCGCGAAATTTCAGTCTTTCTTCTTTACGTTTCCTTTTTTTTTTTTTTTTTTTTTTAAATCCGCGTCTCTCTGTGTGTCCGTGTGTTCGTCCCAATGGTGAAACACCCACACGTGTTTTCAAAGCCAGTGTTTGTCAGCACGAAATAAAAAGCCAGTCTAAGTCATTGCACACACACACACACACACACACACACACATATATATATATATATATATATATATATATATATATATATATATATATATATACGTATAACCTTGTGTCTATCAATGTTATATAATAACAATGTTATATAATAGACACAAGGTTATTTGTTTTCTTTTTTTCATCTTTTTTTAAATTTAAAATTTATTTTCAAAATTTTGCAGACTTCATCAACAACTGAAAATGCTTCAATTTTCCTGATTTTTTAACGGAAAATCCATCTCAGCTGAGCCAGAACCTGAATTATACTGTCGACATTTTTTGTACAAAAACATACAAGAAGATTTAATGATTAGAATTGATAATTTTTCTTCACCCAAAAGGAATGGACAGCGGTATTTCCTCTACTCTAAATGTTTGTTTTTTCACTTGTAAACACCAAGATTTTTGACCGTGGGAATTCTTGCTGGCTTCATCAATTCAATCTTTACACGACTTTTAATGAATTGAATTGACACCAAAAGTATAAAAATTAAATTCGTCATTATCAATTCTGAAGCCAAAAATAAACAGAATTTTTTTTTCTAAATGACATGCATCTTACTTTTTGGCCTTTTTGAAAAGAGAAAATAAAATAAGAATTTTAAATCCGCTGGGAAAAACAAATATTTAAAAAAAAAATGTAATGAAAATAATCACAAACTTCAGTCAAGAATAATGAGGAATTTTTTTTTTTCGGGGGAAAATAGTTTCTAAATTTAGATACAATAAGAATTTTGATATGCAATTGTTTAGCAGGAAAAACTAGGGCCGATTCTTTGGCAAATGCAATGGCAAATGTAGCCCCCCCCCCCAACTCTAACATCTACCAAGGTTATATAAGACAATAGTTAAAAAATAAATAGTAATGCTAATAATAATATAGACAATGTTAAATAAAATAATAGTTACTCTTTAAAAGGTCACCAAATTGTAAAGAATCTAAAAGCAAAGACAAACAATTTCCAATTTGGAATAAATAAATTATTTCATTTTATTTTTAAGAGAAAAAAAAACAGTTTGTTATTTTTAAAAAAGTTATATTTATTATTTTTACATTTCATATTTTCCCGAGAATTTTTTAAAAGCCACAAAGTAAAAACCTGTTTCCTAGAAATAACTTTTATTTTACTTTCGTTATAAAAAAAAAAAAGAGGAAGAAAATGAAAAAAGAAAGAAAGCAACAAGAAAACTACTTTCATTATTTTTCCTGTAGGTTTTTGATTGTTTTTATTTATAGTTCGAAAAAACTAAAATAAAAAAAAAAAACATTTCTTTCTAAAATTAGTTAATAAATTATACATTTAAGAAGTTTAGAAATCTGAGACATTATTTAACCCTAAAAATGGAGAAATACAAAAAAAAGAAAAAAAAAAATGTTTGTTATTGTTGTAGTCAGTGAATTTTTTTTTTCGCGGGAGACGAAATTGACAAAATCCAGAAAAGTAAAAATAACCTTTTTTTTCTAATAAACATAAATAAAGCCATTTTTTGGGGGGTTTTATTGACGAAAAACAAATTAATTTAATGCTTTTTTTTTTGATAAAATTAATAATTTAATCAAACATATCTTTTATTTAAGAGAAACTGTAATTTTAAAATCGTTGGGAAAAAGAGTGAATAATGAAGAAAAAAAAACTGAAGGTTTTATTATAAAATCGGTTTGAAATTTTGAACGAAAGAAAAATTATTTTCTTGTAATAATGTTTCTGCTTTTTCTTGTGGGGGGGCCAAGAAGAAAGAACCGATTATTTTTAGGCTTTATTAAGTAAGTTATATATAAGCAGAACCGTTGTATTTTTGTTTTGAAGATCAGAAAACTCAAAAAAAAAAAGTAGGGTAAGAAGAAGAAGAAAATGTATGTCTTCTTTACTAGTTTTCTACTACAGAAATATTCCACGTTGTTGACTTTTCTTCCCCTTCATGTCTGGCGTGCTATAGTAAAACACGAGAAAGGGAAAAATTGAAACAGTTAAACAAAACAAAAAAAAGTAAATAAATGAACCAGTCATCAGCATTTTGTGTGTGTGTGTGTGTGTCAGTTTCTATCTGTGTGTTCGTTGCAAATAATGAATTAGAAGCCATGAGAGTGGGAGGAAGAAAATCCAAAACAAAATGCGTGTGTGCTAAATTGGAGTTTGCTAAACAAAAACAAGTTTTGAAGGGTGAAAAAATAAATTAAATTTAAAAAAAAAAAAAACATTAGAAAAATAAATAGACATTTAAATTTAACGTTTAATAATGCTAACCCATAGGTTAATTATTTTCCAGTTAGATTTTTAACACAAATATAAACAAAGACTAAGAAAAAAAAAAGGCTATAGAAAATAAAATATGGAAGTAAAAAAAAAAAATAATTTTATGATTAATTAAAATTTATGGTCAAGACAAAAACAAAATCACGTCTGTGAGTGAAATTCTTTTTTTTTTTTTTAAATTTGATGGGTGTGAAAAGAATCAAGTAAAAATATTTAAAATCTATAGTAAACAGTGAGAAGAGAAAATGCGTGTGTGTAGAAATTGTTATTATTTATTGTGTATAAATGCGTACACTAGGCGTGTGTGCGTGTGTACACATTGATGTGTTTCCCGCCAAAGTCTTTCCTTGTCTTTTTTTTCCCGCTCATTGCTAGTAGAAAATGTGCTCAAAGAGAAACATTGAAAGCGCAGTGAACGAGAAAGAAAAGGACGGGAAAAGAAGGAATGCACACTGAGTTGATGATGGTGATAATAATAATAATAGTAGTAGTAATAATAATAATAAATACTGCTGCAACGACTACTAATAATTGTAGTTGGGGAAATAACAAACAAATACAAAAAAGTGGTAAAAAAAAAATGGAGGAAGACCATGTAGAATGTGAAATGAAGAGAGAGACACAAATCAGTAGTGGGATGGGGAGGTGGGCAATGTTAAAAACCGGAGACGAATTCTGATTGGCTGGCGTGAAATGCCGGTCGCTGATTGGTCGGCATTTTGGTATGCAATGCTCTTAAATTTAGTAGGCGAGTAAGTAGCTGGCAAATATACACAAACTGCCTACTATAGAGGAAGTTTTCTCTTGGAGCTGGTTAGGTTGCGAAAAGAAATATTGCATTTTTTTTTTATTTATATTTATTTATATATACATCTATAAAAAAACTCAACAGAAATCCCTCCCTAAAGAAAAAAAAAACTTCCGAATATTTTATTGTGTTTATCATCAAAACATTTCTGAAAATCATCAACTGAACTTCGTCTGTGGCTTCGTCTTGTATTTATTGTTGTACGCCAAACCCGGGAAAACGGACTTTTACTATTAAAACGTTGTCTTCCTTACATTACCATCGCGGAGAACGGACTCTTAAAAACAAAACACATTTATATACTTGGAATCTTTTACTTCAACAAACCTAAGGATGAATATTCCCAAAGGTAGGTACATTTATTTCGTTTTACTTTTATTTGCCATGTAGACTTAGAAATTTTGAGCTATGGAGGAGGACTTTTGTTTTGAAGTGTTTCGTGACTGGCTCTACTATTTTCGTGTCAGTGTGACTGGAAATGTATATATCTTAAAGGAGGGGAAAATGTTTAATCTTCTAATCCGGAATTAGCATAATCCTCTGTCTAAATTAGCCAAATTAATTTCTCTAAGGCTAAGCTGTTCATTATTTACACTAAGTATATCCCCCTTCTTTTAGTATTCTGATGTTTTTGTTTTCAGTTATAGCTTTAGTTTACAAAATAAGACCAATTTTAAATTTACAGAATGAAAATCCTTCAGTTTATAAGGTATATGATTTTAAATTAAATTAATAAAACAGCTAAAAGAAAAAAATCTTAGTTCTTGAAATATTAAATTTTATTTGTCTGTACAAAAATTAAGGTTGGGGTTTCAATTGCCAAAATTGAAATTTTAAATCTTCCTAAAAAAAAAAAATTCTCTTCATCATGCCTTCCTCGGTCAACATTACTACGAGTTTACTTACTACGATTATACACACAGCTTTAAAAAAAGGTTTCTGCTTCTACACTAAAAACTAGTCTGTGCCTACATCTTAAAAAAAAAACATATCCTACCCTTAATTGCTTAGGTTATAACAGCTACCATTAAGCTACTAGTAAAACCAACCATTTTAAGTTTAAAAAAAAAATTAAACGGCTGCTGTGGCGCGCCATTAGAGGCGGCGACCTCGGAGTAATTTGCTAGGTCAAGTCTGAAGCACTCAGTCTGTCTGGGTGATGATGATTGGCTGGCTGCCCAAACCTCCCTTCCTCCGTCGTATTGATTTTAAAGATAGTTCTCCGCGGAGGCTTGGCTCGAAGCGTTCTGCGGTCTTTAGAATAGTAACTCCATTACTATTAACGTTTGAAAACAAACAAGAAGCCGTTTACTACAAAATATTCCCAAGTTAATTATTTGAATATTTATTAATTTTTTCTTTTTCTATAACTTTGGCAAAATATGACTTTAAAATAGTATAAAGTGTTTTCATTTTTTTTTTTTTTTGTCTTTAAAACTATGTATATACCGTTATGCCTCAATGTTTGAAACGGATTCTTCCCTAAAAATACACGCCATGTTTAAATCTGATTTCGCATATAGCTGTAAACATTTATTTACAAACCACTTGAATAAAGAAAAAAAGAATGGTTAACTTTTTTGTTTACTTTATTGAGTGAGGGGTTAGACTATACCGTAGCTGAAAGTTATCGACCGTTATTGACTTTTTTTTTTGTCTGCCCAGTCCTTGTGTGGTTTCAGGTTGGTCTTCTCAGCTGCCACGTGGATTCTATAACATTATCAATATCACATACGCAAACCTTAAAATATAATATAAAATACATACTCTGTTAATAGACAAATATAATTTTTTTTATTTAAGAAAAAAGCCTCTGTAACGATTGACCTCTCTTTCTGTTTGTCTGGGTAGGGCTCCTTTCATATTTTGTTTACAACACTCAGCATTGTGGGCCGCTCCATCCTGCTAATATTTTCCCCTCCTTAACCGCCTACTCAATTTCTACCCGTCATGTTTATAGTAACTAAAATATTTTAAACGGCTTTTGTTTTTCTTGTGATCAATATGTAATAGGAAGAAAGCTTTTTTCTATTTTATATTTAAAATTATTTTACTTTTACAGGTCGCGACTGGGATAGCTTTAAAGACTCTTACAAAGTTGAATCTTTTTTGGGTAAAGGTGGCTTCGGAACTGTCTACAGTGGAATTCGGAGAAAAGATAATTTACCTGTAAGTATGATTTTAAAAATTTAAATTTACTACTACAAATTCTAGAACTTCAATTTTTATTTCTTTTAAAACTTCTCCAAATCTGGTCGAATTGACCATATTGTCGAAAATGAACTTAAAAAAAAAAAAAAACTCATCACAATTTTGATTTGATTTTTTTTTTTTTTTTTTTTTTTTTTCCAGGTGGCCGTTAAAGTTATTGAAAAAGAAAAAGTAATTGAATTTAGCCAACTGGAGGGCATCCCCGTTACTCTGGAGATCGTCCTTTTGCGGAAAGTGGCTAACGTCCCTGGTGCCGTTCGAATGTTGGACTGGTATGTGAGCTCCCATTCATTTGTAATCGTCATGGAAAGGCCCGAACATGTTGTGGATCTCTTCGACTACATCACCGAAAAGGGACCCCTGAATGAAGAGGTCAGCCGACGATTTTTTACCCAAATTGTCCAAACTGTCTACAGCATCCACAACATGGGTGTTATTCATAGAGACATCAAAGATGAGAATATCCTTGTCGACTTGAAAACTGGAATGCTGAAACTGATTGATTTTGGATCCGGTGCCATGCTCAAAGACTCCATTTATCTAGATTTTGATGGTAAGCTTTTAATTTTTTTATCGTTACAAAATTAACTTTATATAATTTGGATATGATCGATTAAAAAAAAACATGTTAGTGGATTAAAAATGCTGTCGGCGCGGAAAAGGAAATCTGACGGCTGTTGAAATTTGTTTATTTTGCGCCTAAAAGGCATGAATCTGTCTACCCCGCCAAAGTGGGAACATTGAGTAGCAGCCAGTCTGAGACAATTCTGCCTTCAAAACAGTGAAAACAACGGATTGGGAGAAATATTTTATCTTGAGATATCCTTTGCTATTCATAAATATTAAAATAACCGCCTACGTCCTGAAGGGGCATAGCAATAAAAGTTGGTAAAAATGGAGTTTTTAGGTGTTCAATTTTTAATTGAAACTTCAATTGAAATAAATTAAAAAAATATTAAATGTTAAATTGAAACTTCACTCATCTTAGATTTTTTTTTTTTTTTATTTATTTATTTATTCATTCATTACTCTTTAAGATGATTCTGCGTAATATATTTTGAAATTAATCATGATTTTAATCATTTTGTTGCCATCGTGTTTTTCAGGTACGAGAGTGTACAGTCCCCCAGAATGGATTAAACATCATAGATACCATGGTCGCTCTGCCACAGTTTGGTCACTTGGGATTCTTCTTTTTGACATGGTCTGTGGAGATATTCCTTTTGAGCACGACGATCAAATTATAAAGGCTGAATTGAAATTCAAAGAGAATTTATCAAAAGGTAAATATTGATATTTGCTCGGTTGTCATGGGGGGGATTATAATAGACCCCCCCTCTTTTATTTTTTTATTTTAATTTTTTAAAATTGTTTATATAATGCATCCTTTCAGTTAAGTTCATTCAAAGTAAGAACTTGTATACATAAACAAAAAATTTAACAACCTTTACAGAAAGCCTATAGGGTGGGGCAAGTTTAATGCTGTCTGTTGAGAGCACTTTTTTTTTCTTCCCCTTATGAAGTCATTAATGCACATTAGCCGTTTTAGTATAACATAACCCCTGCTTCTCTTTTAATAATAATAATGATAATAAAAAGGCACATCTACAAAATGTAGGTTCTCCCACACTTTATTAAATTTTCTAAATGTTTTTAGACTCCATTCTTAATATGGTTTTTACTTATATTTTTCAGATGTGAAAGACTTGATTCGCTGTTGTTTATCTGTGCGTCCCTCGGACCGACCCAGTCTCGAAGCCATCCTGAATCATAAATGGTTAAAAAACATACCCCCAGTTGATGCTTCTAAAAGAACTGTACAAGCCTCCCCCACAGAACCTGCCTGCACTCTGTCTAGGCAGGGGAGTATATGAAGTAACTCCCATATTGGACGTTTATTTTTTAAATTTTTTTCTTTAAAAAAAAAAATGTAACTAAACAAACGTGGGTGGATATCTTGACTTGCCACTCTAGGAAAACTGACCATGTGATTGGGGTGGGGGTCAGTCTTCTGCTGTGGGGGGAAGGAGAAAGTGAGCAAGCCGTTGGGGTGGTGGGAATCCTCCCCCGCCCCTCCGTATTACTGTTCTTGG